TTCGGATATTCGGATTTTTGGATTGGTTTTCAACAAAACCGAATTATTATTTTGGATTTCGGATTGGTTTTGCTTTATAAAATAATAACCGAATAGTCCAAAAAAACCGAATAAACATTTATTATTTATTTATTTATAATATATATCTTTTGTTATTTATTAATTTTGTAATTTATTCTTTAAAATAGGTTCAAAATGTTTCACCCGATAAAAGAAACATTAATACGCATTTTATCTCAAAAGTTTTCTATCTATAAAATATTTAACTATAATATACTTTCTTAGTAGTTGTTTATAAATTTCAAATCACAACTAAATAACTTGTTTTCACTTCTTGTGCAAAATTGGGTGATATTATAATTATATGTCGTTTTTAAATGTTTCGGTTTTTGAAAACTGATTATAAAAACCGATCCAACCGAATTGAAATTGGATCGGATCGGATCGGATTTGAATTTAAGTTGGATTATTCGGATCCATGTTTTGAAAACCGAATTCAATTTGGATTCACTTGATTGGATCGGATCAAATCGATCCATCCAAACGAACACCGCTAGCTGCCCCTTTGGAAACCCCAAACCCACCCCCGACTAGTCGTCGAACCGGCTATTAATTTGATCTTATACATACGTGCACTCCGCACCAACCCGTACACATATTAGAAACCAAATTAAGAAGCCCCTTAGCTCACATGCTAATTCCAGTTACATAAAATGACATGGTGACACTAAAATCACCAACATGAAGTATACCAGGTTAACCATAAACCCAACATTTCCAAATATATATGGTGAAAGAGTATACCATGTTTGATCTGAATGTATTCTCAAAGGAAAAGATGAAAATCGTGGAAAGTAATAAGTTATACATTTAGCCCCATTAAGAGAAGGACTATTTATAGACCGGATCAGGTAGGGTTTTTAAAGTATAATGGATTAAGATAAAATGTCTGGTCTTCCTGTAATGAAAACATAAAAGTTTATAATGATTTACTATGATTTGGTAAATGTAGTTCTTTAGTAAAAGATGTCGGCAGAAGATGTTAGGGTGTAGTAGTTTAAGGATGAATAGTAGTTTCACATGTGTCAATGTACGGTATCAATTTTTAGAGCACATGCTTGTTACTTAGTAATTCAATAAGATGACGACAAATGCTTATGTCATCAGTTTTTCAAAGGATTCCATCACAAACATTTATTCTAACAACCAAGCTTTTGAACACAAGTTTGGAGGTTTTTGAGCACATGTGTGGGATCTTTCTATTTCAATTTTGTACCAATCGTTTTTTCTGCAATTATAGTTTGAGCAGCAAATTGTGTCCCTCTTCTTGTACTAAAAAATCTACAAGTAACTTGATCTTAAACCCACACATTTAATTATTATATCTTGTTGTGTACACAACATTATTTGTGCTGTGTTCGTGTCGGATTTACGGTTTAGGGTTTAGACCTTTAAATATGTTGATAGATTGAAAGAGTAGGAGTTAGAGATATTGAAAATTAAAAGCAAAAATAGGAAAACTAGTAGTTTGGGAGGCATAGTGATGAATATCACAATTAGTTTAGAGGAGGAAAGTCACACTGAAAGGGAAATGGGTGAGTAAGATTGTGGATAATATCATCTTAATGAAAAAGTGAAAAACTAAAAGTAGGTATCGACGGGAACGGCTAATTAGTATATGCTCTTAATTAAAAAATGAAAAACAAAAAGTAAGTATCGACGGGAACGGCTAATTAGTAGCTTCCACATTATAAAACGATCCATCTAAAGGTTTCTTTTACGATTAGTTTGGATTCTAGGCATGTTGAGTTTACCTAAAAGATTAAAAGAAGTTGCCTATATATAAACGTGTCATTTTTGTGTTAGAAAGTTAGGACTTTAACCTTACCCGTTTAATTGTCGTGGCATATCTATCTGTTTAATAAAATAGGTTTAAATCTTTTACCCATACTCATTTATTTTCATGTAGAGTCGATAATTTTCACCCTTAGTTTTTTATAGATTTCTGCTAGAAAAAATGGTTCTAGTCTCTCTTTAGGGTGAGAAATCCAATTATTGTTGCAACGATATGATAGTTTGAAATATTATAGCTTAAATTTTTTTAATAAACTAATAGAAAACGTAGTTATACTCAAAGTTTAGCCTGCTTTTTATTTAGCGGAATTTGTAAGAATGGTCATGTGGTTTATAATTTTTTCTGTTTCAGTCCAAAAACGTTTGTGCTTACATCAGTGGTCCAAAATGATATATTTTGTGATTTTGTTTCATTCTCAACTTAAAAAGACTATTTTAACATTTATATATATATATATATATATATATATATATATATATATATTATTGGTTTTCTGGGTTTACTCTAATTATTCTAGAATGAAAAATACAAAAAACATGTAGCAATAATCCCACCACTACTCCCCTCTCTTTAAAGACGTTGACTCAAAATCCTCTCTATCTCTCTCGCTCAACTATCTAAGACCTAACATCCACAACCCCTTCTTGCCGGAAAGTACCTTCGTGTCACTGCCTCCGTTCCTATATCCTTCTCTAACTCATGCCCCCTCTTTTATCTTTTCACACCGGTGAAACCACCACGACAACGTTTCCCCTTCCATGGTATTGGTACAACCACGATAAATTATGTGATTTACAATTATGGATGTTACAAGTTGGTATCAAAGCCATGGTTTAAACTAATTACGTTGGATTATCCTTCCTAGGTTTAAACAATAAAAATAAGGGGGTGTGTTCCTTGTGAAAGTGATGTGATTATTTTTACACTTGTGTACCTGGTTTGGCAAGAGTTATGATCAGGATTATATCTCCCTATATAAATTATAGATTAGGAGGTTATGTCAATTTTTTGTGGTAATGAGAACTGATTAGGAATTTCTATTACCATGTGGGACATAGGTAACTAGGAATTACTGAAAAAGAAAGTCACATAGTTTGTCTCTATGATAAAGTTGGAATTCGAATAAAGAACTAGAACTTTGAAACTTATGAGAGTCATGTTATTTATGTAGTAAAATTATAGGAGCGGGTCTCAAGGGTGATGCGTTTCATCAAAGGAGTCTGGAAGAATTCTTGGTGTCAAGGAAGAAAGTCGTAACGGTTTACACTTATACCGATTAATTCGCAAACTTATTGGCATTGTTCGACAGCACGTGGTTTACGGAAGAAAGGAAGGCCTAGTGTTATGCGAAAGGCCTACCCTCAACATATTATACAGGTGAAATGATATCATGTACTATATAATGCGACAATGGTAGTATTATTTATGAGAGGCTTTTAAGAAGAATAAAATGGGTGTGAAGAAGAGGTCAATGGTACAACTAGTGTCGTCATAAACACTTGGCGAAAAGTTTGTTGGAACATGACAGTGTTGCTGACGTGTCTAGAAAAGCATGAAGGTAAGAAATACGAAGAGTACATAGAAGAAAAGGTTACAAATAAGAGTGAAGTTATAACTCCTAAGTCGAGGTGATGTGTGGAATCATAACGTCTTAATAAATCAATGGATGACTTATGTGTGTGTGTGTGTGAAAGGTGGTTATTTCCTTTTGTGAATCAGCTGAAAAGGTTGTATTAAACCTTATGATGGTAGGGAGCCATAAAAAGGGGATTACAAAGTCATATAGATTCGTGAGAGTATAACAGTCTCTTGTTGAGAGCTTAAGGAAAATATTAAATTGAGTAAGGAACTTCATGATCAAGTGAAAAATGAAATATGAGATATGAAACTTCAAGGACACTTGAGTACTTGATGTAAGGGACTAGTATATAATTACATCTCGTTAATGTACTAGTTATAGACCTCAGGTGCAATGATATGAAACTTTTAGAAGCTGACTAGGTGATCAACGAATAGATATAATGGTACACTTCCAAATTCTCATATAGAGAAGGTAATAAAAAGAATAAGGAAATGGGTTTGGTAAAACTTGTGAGTCGGGAAATAGAATGGTAAAGTCAGAACTACATGATAATCATTTGCATGCAATGTTATGGCACGCGTATCACTACAGACACATGCCACTCGTTGTGATCTGACAAAATCATGAGGTTGTTCGAAAATCGAATTTGAGATGGGAAATTCTAGTTGGGTATGTTGGAATACTAAGGGTGTGTGAATAAAGACCTTTAGGTATCATGTGTTAAGTAACATTAGAACGTGTAATGTATGGTGTACGAACATTATGCAATTATTAGACAAAGGATGTATTTGGATGTGATAGTTATGGTTAATTGTGGAGTGATCATGTTTGATACTTCATTAAAGAAGTTAGAAGGAAGCCTAGTAAGTTGTTGCCCAATTACCGATAAAATTAGAGTACCTTAGTTGAAGCATGATGGGAAAGGGATATGGTAATGGGATGCGTAAAAGATTCCAATAGTGAATGAGATTTTGGGCACAGAAAAATCTGCTAGAATTAGGTCCAATGTTCTTAGTTTAGTTAACACTACTATGAATTCAACTTTTTCAACCGGTAGTGTGAAAATTGGAATTCTGAAAGGTGTTTGTGTCAAGTGGAACACAAGGTTTGGGCATAGTCCATCACGTTTTCACTCATAACCATGACTGAAAATACCGAAATAGGTTTGCGAGGTAGATTGAAGCAGTTGTGTAACACCCCGTTTTGAAAAGTACTTTTGTGGCGGTCTCGGAGGCCCAGGGTATAAGTTATTCCATCTTTTATGGGTCCCAGGTTTTATCCGGAAGGTTTTAAGGTCCGAGTGTGTAGATAGGAGCGTAGGGTTTCTCGCTACCTTTTCATGAATATAAAGTTCGTCGGAAACGGACTTAGAATGAAGGAGTTATAACACTTTGAAGTTTTTGACATTATTGGTCCTTAATGGAGAAAATGTAACATCCCCAAAAATACCAGCTAAAAATTTCATTTTTAAATTAGGTTAATTCATAAAAACATCATTACA